AAAAATAGTCCAAGGACTTATTTAAAATTTTTTGGAATGTTTAAGGACTTATTTAATATATTTTGGAATGTCCAAGGACTTATTTGTGCCAAAAAATTGTCCAAGGACTTATTTAACATGTTTTKRAAARTTYAAGRACTTATTTGTTCCAAAAAAAAGTTCAAGGACTTAATCATTCCAAACAAGAAAGTTCATTGGTTTTTATTGTACTTTTCCCTTTTTTATTCTCTTATTTAATTATTTCTCATATGAACCTGATTTTATATATATATATATATATATATATATAGAGAGAGAGAGAGAGAGAGAGAGAGAGGAGGTTGGTTTGCATTTGATCTCTCATTCTATATATATATATATATATATATATATATATATATATATATATATATATATATATATAACTATCGAATTATATCAATGGACAATCATCAAGATTTTGAGTTACCTTGTCTTGCTAAACACAAAAGTCTTTGATCATGAACCCATGAATACAATTTTTATCAATTTCCCTATATAAAATGTATCACAACTTTAATATCTTTTTTGTCCTTTTATTTCTAAATAAAATGATGTCAATCACATTATTTGTGTATTCCAAGAAACTTCAGCTCCCATACTTCCCAACTACAATCTACGACCCTTACATTATGAGTTCCACTTTATTTGACTTTCTTTTTAGGGAAAATTACAATAAAAACCAATGAACTTTCTTGTTTGGAATGATTAAGTCTTTGAACTTTTTTTTGGAACAAATAAGTCCTTGAACTTTTCAAAACATGTTAAATAAGTCATTGGATTGTTCAAGGACTTATTTTTTTAAAAAAGTTATTTAACATGTTTTGGATTGTTCAAGGACTTATTTGTTCCAAAAATTGTCCAAGGACTTATTTAACATTTTTTGAAATGTTCAAGGACTTATTTGTTCCAAAAATTGTCCAAGGACTTATTTAACATTTTTTAAAATGTTCAAGGACTTATTTGTTCCAAAAATTGTGCAAGGACTTATTTAACATATTTTGGAATGTTCAAGGACTTATTTAACATGTTTTGGAAAGTTCAAGGACTTATTTGTTCCAAAAAAAAGTTCAAGAACTTAATCATTCCAAACAAGAAAGTTCATTGGTTTTTATTGTACTTTTCCCAATAAAAAACGGTCAAATTATGTGTGGTTTTATATTAAAATCATATATGATTCACACGACTTTACATTATCCGTTAATGTGTATATATGAATATTTGTACTTAACCTATGCAAGGTTCAAGAAGAATCTTTATAACCATGGCTTATGTGCAGAAAACCATTTATCTCCAACTATTCTCAAAATCGGAAGAAAAATTGATTCCTATGTGTATCAAGGAAAAAAAAAAGATATGTTTTAGAATTTGTAAATTAAATATATTTTTTTTTATTAACCTGGATATCCAACCCGCTATGTGAACCGATTAATTTTAGGACCACCACCTGCTTTGCAGATAGACCGGAGTCATCGCATTTGAACTTCCGTAACCACAAGAGGATTTTTTTCCTCCTTGAATTTGAACCTAGGACCTCCAGGTAATTTTGACCTTTGGAGCCAAGCTCAAATCAATCAGGCACCACTCTTGTGGTTGTAAATTAAATATTTGTTATCCATAACAGCCAATTCGTTCATATGGATTGGGAGTATTGAGTGTGATCATAAATTTTTTACAAGAGTTTTACATGAAAATAGTCGGAGGCTGTAAACTTATCTCGATAAAAAATTAGGTATAGTTTTATTATAAAGCTTTATCACTGCATTTTGTTCAATAAAAAAACGAAGGGAGTCTAAGGGGTCGCTTGATAACCATTCAACGAGTAAGGGGCCGTTTACCAAACATTTACCCGATAAGCGTTTATCGGTAAAATTTAACACTACCACTTACTTACTAGGTAAGATTTTTGTCCACAAAAACAACATTGTATGCAACAATTTACCCAGTAAGCGCTTACCATGGTAAGAGTCGTCGCCTTCACTTACCRGGTAAGACTCTTGGTCCTTGTCTCCCTCTTACCGGGTAAGATTTTTGGTCCTTACCATATTCATCCGGTAAGGTAATGTGACTTGGTAAGCGCTTACCTGGGTAAGCGTTTGGTAAACGGCCCCTAAGTGTTTATAGGTCACTTGCCTAACTGGATAAGCAAAACAATAACTGATAATCTTATCTTGTAATAAGCATGACAACAACCGAAGTTCTTATATGGTAAATAACGGAAAAGACTTACCCGGTTAGCACTTACCGCGTAAGAGACGCTTACAAATATTCCATTTTAATGGCCTAGAATATTACCTAATAAGGTAAGTAAGGATAGTGACTATAACCATAAATATTTCCCAAGTAAGTATTTGATAAACAACCATAAACCTTATATACTTTGCTTAGGCTTTGAAATTAACTAAGAGTTCTATTTAAGTCAATTTTTTTAAATATTTAATATATTATTAATCTCTACATTAAAATAAATGTATATAATATAAATAACACAGTTTCAAACATAAATAATTATTATACTTTTTAATTAACCAAAATGATAATTAAATACTTAATATGTCAATATTATCAACTCGGTAGACTTGGTAATTTAGTTATCTATTTTTAAGAATGGACACTTATTTTAAAGAAATAAAAATGTGGATATTTATGTAATGTATTTGCACAAGAGTGACATCCATAGGATTATTTATGCTTTCTGTATTTGGCAAGATGCCAACCAAGAGTTTGTTGAGAAGAAAGAATGTTGTTAGTTATTGGTCCTCCAAATGAAAAGGATGGAAGTCTACAAGTCTTTCTAAATATAGAATCAGAAAACACAATCTCAACCAAACAAACACCTCCTGTTTCTTACAACCATCAAATCCAACTACAAATACCTCTTATTAACAAGGAAATTCCCAGGAAGAGAAACCAACCAAGCACAAGACATAATCACAATTCCTAACCTCTTCCTGATTTTGAAACCCTAGATAGATAGGTAAGGTAGATAGATGATAGGTACATCATAGATGATAGGTGATGAAAACCCTAAGTTTTATTGCTATAAATCTAATCATGCTGGCTTGCTTGAGCAACAAGGCAGCACAGGCTGAAACGATATGCATGCGCGAATGCCCAAGCCTATGCATGAAGCATAACACTGAGGCCCAAGAAATCGAATGCTACTTCTTCTGTGTTCTCAACTGCGAACGCTGCCCTAACAGCCCCACAGGATGCCCTCCTGGTATGTATGTATGTATGTATGTATAGGTATATGTAGTGGGAGATTCAAATAAGAAGGCTAAATATTGTGAGAATATAAGAAGGTCCATATGTGAATAAATGAATAATCTACTTGAAGATGCATATGGTGAAATTTATATGGGTTCACCTATGCATCTTCATACGAATCTTCTCTTAACCTTTCCTTCTTACCTTCTCACGAGATTTAGCCTTCTTATTTGAACCGACAGTTGTATATTTATATGTATGTTTTCCTTTATCAATTCTTCATCAACCTCAACTATTTGGGACTAAAATAGTTGTGTTTTATTCGTCAACAGATGAAGAAACCAAAAAAAGAGTGGCAGAAGCAAATTTGAATGATATGGAACAGATACTCCGAAAGGTGTCAGGTATAGGTATAGGTCCAGGTCCAGGTACCTCACGCAAACTCAAGAATTGAAAAGATGTCAACCCCCCCCCCCCC